AAATAATTTCAACAAATATATTAAGTTCCAAATAGTTGGTTTAACTCCACAGTCGATAAAAAAATTTTTTAAAGAAATTTATGTTTTAAACATTTTGGAAACAGTTCACTACCACTGTTTAATATATATTTTGCTTGAAACTCAAATGTTCATACCTGCCAACTCTTCCGGATTTTCCGGAAGATTTTATTTTCATATTTAACGTGGTAGCAATACTCAGGTTATTCTAATTAACTTTTTGAATTATAATGATAATTATAAATGAATTTGTCCACCACTACATATAAATAATTATAATGAATATATCAGAGCATAATAATCCTTGCGCAAGCGAATTTCAACGGGATCAAAATGTAAATATATTTTTGAGTCAGAATGTTTTTCGTTTATTGTTTTACAACCACTCTGAAAATCCATTCTCGGAAAGAGTAAAAGTTGGCAGGTATGAATGTTTAAGGGTGCGGAATTTTAATCCTTGACTCAAAGATCTAAACCAGAGGTCAATCTCAAAAGACTGAAGTCTTATTATAATTATTTTAAAGAACTTCAACCCGTAATCTTTATAGCGAACTATCAATTTGCTTGCATCTCACTTAAAATTTACTATTAGAATTCTATACCAAAAATGAAGCATTAGTCAAAAATAAAGTCACTTATTTTTAAATTAAACGTATAAATTAAATTTATCGATTAAATTTATAGATTTATCTGAACATCACTTAGGTGAGTAACAAATTTCTTTTTTTCTCTTTAATTTTCTTCAAAATATGAATAATGAATAATTATGAATAATATATTAACTTTTATTATACAAAAACTCATAAAAAAATTAGCTCTAGGCCTATAGTTCCAGATTACAAGTGAAAACTATAAAGGTCAGAAATGCGGAAATGATCTGGCTATTGAAACTGGTTTATAGGATATTCCACAGATTCTCATTGTCAACACATAGTTAAAATAAATTTTATTATAATTATTTTTTAAAAAAATAATCATCCAATAGTATTTATTTCGATCCACCAGTTTTTTCTCATACTTTTACTTCCAGAATTTCGTCACAAAAATTATTGAACATTAAGAAATAGATATTTGCTCCGAGCTATTCTGACCACAAAAATTGCAGCAGTTTCACAAGCCGGGGACAGTTCTACAAAAAAATAAAAGCTCTGGTAACCATAAAAAATTGGGTTGAAACGATAACGACACTAATGAAAGAGAAAGTGAAGTGAAATAACGAATAAAATAAATACAAAAAAAAATATTTCCCGCAAGACCAGTAATCGTGAAGAGGTTCTTTTTAGGATATTCCGGCTTATTTAAAGTCAAAACCACGAGCAGAATATAATAGAAAACGATATTACGCATTCGGAAGTGGAGGGTAAGTTTCTTTTTTGTCAAAAACTTTATAAGCGGCGCATTTTGACTGTTTTTAAAATAATCCACTCGCAACTACTTTCACTTTCACTCGCAAGAGATTTAGTTTTGGCAGAATGCTCATCGTATTGCTTTGTTATTAAAGGGTGGATTTAAGTTTGAGAAAAGAAAAAGAAGGTTAAGGTTCAACTTTCTCTTTTGTTCGAAAGTTCTCGAAAATACGTGAGATGAATAAGATAAGTTAGGAAGAATAAGGTCAAATAGTGCATTGTAAGCTATGCTGAACTGTAAACATACTTAATTGGCGAAAAACTATATATGCGGACTCACGTTTGGCATAGCATTGAAGATGTTAGCCAAAAAACGCGGAACAAATGCCATCCCAATGCTAAATGATTTGGCGACCGCCCTATAATTAAAATTTGATAAAATGAAAATATTTTCCATGACAATTTATCAGAAATGTTAATTTTATAACAGTTTAGTTATTTTTGCAATAATTGGTATTTAATTCTGTTGAAATCTGATTAACTCCCGTTTAGAGATTTATAATTTTTTTTTTTTTTTTTACAAATATCAATTTCCTTTTAAAACAAATTTTTCAATTTTGCTACGTTTAAATAGCAACTTATTTTGATATGTTTAAATAGAAACTTATTTTGATATGTTTAAATAGAAACTTATTTTGATATGTTTAAATAGAAACTTATTTTGATATGTTTAAATAGCAACTTACTTTACTATGTTTATTTTAGCTATGATTATTAGCATAGTTGAAATAGCAACTTTTTAGCAAAAATTTAAAAAAAAATTACTTTTAAATTTAATAATAAAGAAGAAAAAAAACCGAAAAGATAAAAATATATTTTAAGCAAAAAAAATTGCAATGGAATAGCGGTAACTATTTTTTTTTTCTTTTTTGGCTATGGAACACAAATGGGTAAAGAATTGATTGATCCTTAACTATGGTCAACCTTTGGGCGGAACCCCGACATAATAAAAAGTTTATTAGCAGTACTAACTAGCCAACTATCATACAAACATAAAAAACTATAAATTATTTCGAAAAAGACTATCTTGACTATCTTCGAAAAAGAAATCTTGAAAATATTTATTATGAAAAGAGAGTAAAATATTTAATATTATGAATTTGTTTTTGGTATATGCATGTGCCGAAAATGAATAAAATTTGATTTTCAAAATAAAACTGCGATAAAAGTAGAAAATAATCATAAATGAAATGTAATTCTTCATTCTTGAATTTAGATATTCTATTTTGAATTGAAAAACTATGTGTAAAATACTTGATTTTTTTTTATAAAGGCGTATTTTCATAATTTATTTAATACAATGTTATTGAAAAAATATCTTTAATCTTTTAATTTTACATAAATAAGTCCATGTAAACAACCGAAACATTGAATAAAATGAGGATTGTAAATTGAATCTAGATATAATAATAATTGGTTAAAAAAAATCCTAACGTTTCGAACTCCTGTAAAACTTCCACTTAACTCTTTGAATCCACAGAACAGCAAATAAAAAATAGGAATACTAATAAAATCAAAAAACATGCCGTAAACAGGATCCTCGGAAAACAGTTTCTGAGGTACGAGCAGGAGTTTAAAAAACATGTTTTTCTGAAAAACGTAATTAAAAGTGGAAAAATTTGTGTGTGAAGCATGTTGCATAGTTTTATATTAAACCACTGTAGCTCATTCAAAAGATCAAATTACGGAGAATAATTTTTATCGCAAGTTCGAAGTTTACAACAAAAGTAAGAAATATTCGATTTTTAAGAAAGTTTATGGCTCCCTTTTTTAAAAGTATTTATTATCAATCAAAGGAAACATTTTCCAAAAATAGTATGCTTACAAATTATTTAAAAGAAGTCTAAAATTTAAAAAAAATAGAAATAATCATTCTGCTAAGATCTTTTTTCACTTTTGCTATTAACAACTCTCAAATATGCGAACTGTCAAATGTATGACGAAAACGTTTCCTCAACTCGGAACATCATCACCTTGCATTGTAGATAATTGTTAACTAAAATGACGAAACTAGAATGAAGATAAGACAATTCGAAACTAGAATAACGAAATGTTTCTTTTCTTTTGACGAAATTAGTTTCCTCAGAGAAGTCACGAGTGTTATTTCATCACTTTGTGTCGGAGCATATACCAGTAAACAGTTTCGACAAAAACGAAGAAAGTTTCGTGAAATTTGAGTAGGGGAGAGTGGGATCAATTGTAACATTTTTTACTTTACTATTTTTAACTAACAAAAAATCCAATTTATTATTAGTATTAATTAACCCTTTCGCGCCGACTGTCACAAATATGTGACAGCATAAAACCGTATCAATCAGGGTAAAAATATAAAACTGGTAATCAAAGTATTTCTTTAGCAGTTTATTTGTGGGCGGAGCTATAATTGTTTGATTTATTTAATTCACCATTACTTTGCTCAAAATAAAACTATTTAGTTATACTTTGAATTAATATTGATTTTATATATGATTAAACTAACAATAATTAAAGTAAAAGC